TCTTGTAAATCTTTCAATGTTAAAGCTGGCATTGGAGGAGAGGGTGGGGGAGTAGGTTTTGTCTGCTGTGATATCTGTACAGCTGGAGAAGAAGAGCTCAAGCCTTTCTGAGGAGGAAAAGTTCCCCCACGCTTTGAAGCCATTTTACTTTCTCTTCCCCTCTTCTCTAATTTAATTTATATAATATAATGTCCAGTAAGATTTTCTTAAAACTGCCACCAAAAGCAGAAGCAGATAGCTTGCCCACCAGCAATACAAGTAAATCTAATACAATAGTAGTCCAGCAGAAAGTGAAAGCAGAATTGAAAGTCCTCAAAAAGTGAAAGTCTCTGTTAAAGAGCAAAACGCCCTTCGGCGGCCATTTTTTTCCTTTCTTCTTAAACTTTAAACATCAATGGAGAAGTTATTAAATTCAGAGCTAAAGGCTCAAATCCTTGCAGCTCCCAAGCACCTGGATCGCTCTGTCTGCTCACAAGAATTACTCACGCCCTGTTGGAGGACAGCTGCCACTACCTCTTGTACTCCCTCATCTTCGTCAACTCCTACCCCGTCACCATGAGCATTTTCCCTGTGCTGCTGTTCTCGTTGCTCCACGCAGTGACCTACACGAAGAAAGTTCTTGATGCACGAAGCTCAAATAGTCTTCCTTTCCTAAGAAATCTGTTGGACAAGCTAAACGCCAATCAACAAAACATCTTAAAATTTATTGCCTGCAACGAAATCTTCTTGATGCCAGCTACCGTGTTTATGCTTTTCAGTGGACAAGGAAGCTTGTTGCAGCCGTTTATTTACTACAGGTTTCTTACACTCCGTTACTCTTCCCGGAGAAATCCTTACTGCCGGACCCTCTTCACAGAGCTGAGGATTGTGGTGGAGCATCTCGTAATGAAGCCTTCTTGCCCGCTGTTTCTGCGAAGACTCTGCGTGAGCAGTATTTCTTTTATAAGTAGACTGGCCCTCACAGTGGCGTAGCCCACCCTGGAAACCTCCGTACGTCTCTCTCTCTCTCTCTCTCTCTCTCTCTCTCTCTCTCTCTCTCTCTCTCTCTCTCTCTCTCTCTCTCTCTCTCTCTCTCTCTCTCTCTCTCTCTCTCTCTCTCTCTCACT